GGCTCCCACACGTCCACAGCCTCTGCCAGGACTGCCCTCCCCAGCCCCGCAGCCCAGCCCCCGTCTAGGCCCCGTCTGCCTTCCCCCCAGCTCCTCCAACCCTGCCACACATTCTTCACACTGAAAAGCTGTTCTAAATCAACTTGCCCTAAACCAATCTGCTAAATAACCCATCACTAGAAAGTGTCGGGTATCTTAAGGCAGAGAGGATCCTGGCCCAGCCGTTTCCATCGATGGAAAAGCCTGGGTTTTCAAGACACCACAGTGAGAAGAGCGGGGCGAGAGGATGACCAGCAGCCACGTGGGTGCTCCCAGCCTGGCCCCAACTGGACATCACCAGGGCAGCTGTGCTCTGCCCCTCCAATGCCACTTGTGACCAAGCACGCCCGAGGGGTGGACAGTGCAGTGGGCAGGGCCTCCTGGAAGCTGCCAGGCAGCCGAGGGACCCCGTGCCCACATCATCCCCTACAGCACACACGGCCTCCTGGGGACAGGAGGGCACAGCCAAGCACCCAGCTCTTAAGAGGTGGGTCAGAGCAGAGCAGGGCTTCACATGGGAGCCTCGCTGCTGGAGCCACCTCTGCTGCCATCCCAAATGGTGCCAACTGCTCCCTCTTCTGGCCACAGTGTGCCACAGCAAGTTGGCGGCCGGTCCCCCCACTTCATCCCTCGCCCTCAACATCCCCAGTGGCACAGCACCTGGCACATCAAACTACTCCGCAGACGCAGGTCACGAATGAACAAGCACAGCGTCCCAAAAATCGGCACTCTGTTCAAAAACTTTGACCCGTGCCACTTCTCTTTGGGAAATGTGAAAACTCCTGGCGAAAGCGACCCAAGCTGCTGGGTGCTGCTGAGAGGACCAAGAATGCTTCTCAGAACGGTCCCCATGGCTCCCGTGTCCAACCTGCGCCTTCAGGAGACAGGTGCCACGTGACAAGGGGCATCCACAGGACACGCCTGCGCCTTGCGTCTCCCTGGGCAGGAAGCCGCTCAGCCCACCTCTGCCCCTGGCAACACTGCCTCCTACTCAAGCCTGTGCGGCCCATGACCCACCAGTCAGCTCCCCATCCCCACAGGGTCCTAGAGAGATGACTGCCTCTGCCCCCCAGGAGGCCTCACTTCCCTCCATAGAACACCTCAGGGCCGGGCCTGGCAGCAGACTAGGTGCCAGACACTGCATCCGGGCACTCTTTCCACCGCAGGGCCCGACAACAGGCTCAGCGTGCCGGTCAGGAGGAAGACACGGCCGGAGCCACTAAGTGACTTGCCCTGGTCATGGAGCTGTCAGGCGGACAGAACACAAGGTCCATCCACTCTGCATCCACGGCCGTCCTTGGCCTCAGCGGGTGCACAGCAGTGCTTTCTACCCTGTCACGCGTGGACCACCAACCACGTGTAGGCGCCCAGGGGCCCCGGCCGGCTTCAGGAGCTCACACCTGCTGGGAAGAGTAATCCATTCAGAAGGCTGGACACGCCAACTGGGGAACATGCTGAAGAGCTGGGGAAACATGGAGGGGGAGGGGCTTGCCCGTGAAGACACCAGGAGCACGCAGGCTCCCTGAGAAGGGGACCCGGGGCTTGTGGTTGAAGACTGCATGCAGCACCTAGAACAGGGCCGTGCACCAAGCCCAAGAAACACGTGTCGGCAAGGCGAGCCAGTAGGGGCTTTTCAGAGACGAGGACTTTCTGAGCTGGGCCCTGACGGCCAGCAGGAATTCGACAGGCAGCTCAGTCGGGGGAGGGTGCCCTAGGAAGAGGAAACTACAGGGGTGAAAACATTGAGGGAAGAAGGTCCCAGTGAGAAGGGGGCTGGGGAGGATAAAGGGCCTGCAGTAGGCTCCAGGGCCAGCCAGCCAGCCTCAGGGGAGCAGGTCCAGCCAGGGCCCCCAGAAGCCCTCCAGACGGCTCCATACCCCAGCCCCTCTGCAGGCACAGACTCTGGGAAGCCCAGGACCGCAGGATCAATCTGAGCCTACTGTGAACCACATCAGGGATGCCAGCAGCTTGCTGAGCAGGCCCCGTGCCCCAGGCATCGCAGGTACAAAACCTTGCGTGAAGAATCCCTGAATTCCAGGCTGAAGACACACGCCACTATCTCCCCGTATCACTCCATTATCCTTGTCAGGAAGGAGCATCAGCAAGTCATTTCAGGACTGAAATTGGCCACTTAAAAGTGACACCCATCAATTTAGCTTGCTTCAAAGGCATCTCTACACTCAGAGCTTCCTTTCTTTGTTTCAGAAGATGCTAGAAAAAAGAGCTCAAAACATAACTTGCAAATAAAATGGCCTAGGCCGGTTGTTTCCAGAATTCTGAGGAAAACTGAAGGGAGGAAGCCAATGTTTACTGAACATCTACTGGGTGCCTAAGGAGCCCTGGTGGCACAGTGGTTAAGAGCTCGGCTGATAACCAAAAGGTCAGCAGTTCGAATCCATCAGCCTCTCCTTGAAAACCCTATGGGGCAGTTCTACTCTGTCCTATAGGGTCGCTATGAGTTGGAATTGACTCGACGGCAATGGTTAACAGGTTATGGTAACTACTATGGTTTAGACAATCCTGCAACAACAGTATTAACAAACAATAATTTATGAATGGATACATAGGTAGATAGATACTCCAAGAAGTGTGGGAGGACATAAGGGAAACCACCCGCTGGCAGATATAGGTTTGGTGGTGGACATTTCTACATACGTGACTGTAGGTGTGGCTTTTATAGATAGAGGACACAAGGGGCACAGTCAGGGAAACCTCTTAAACATAACCAGACACCTCGCAGGATAAAATCCCTAGGCTGTGAGACAAAGGATCACAGACTTGGAGGACATCTACGTCAATTGGCACAACATAGCTTATAAAGGCAATGTTCTGCATCCTACTTGGTGTGTAGCATCTGGGGTCTTAAAAGCTTGCAAGTGGCCATCTAAGATACAACAATTGGTCTCTTCCCATCCAGAGCAAAGGAGAGTGAGGAAAACCAAAGATTCAAGGAAGCAATTAGTCCAAAGGACTAACAGGCCACATGAACCACAGCTTTCATGACCCCGAGACCAGAAGAACTAGATGGTGCCTGGCTACCACTACCAACTGCTCTGACTGGGATTACAACAGATGATCCTAGACACAGCAGGAGAAAATTGTAGAACAAGAAATCAAATTGGCAAAAAGGACCAGGCTTGTTAGTCTGACAGAGACTGAAGGAACTTCCTAGTCTATGGCCCGAAGACAGCCTTCTGACCTGGAACTGAAGCTGTTTCTGGAGACCACCTCCAGCCAAACAATAGACAAGTACGTAAGATAAACAATAACACCTGAGAGGAACGTGCTCCTTAGAATAATCAATTATACGAGATCAAAAGGGCAAAACCTGCCCAAAAGCAAAGATGAGAAGGCAGGAAGAGGTAGAAAATCAGGATGAAAGGAAATGGGGAACCCAGGGCAGAAACAGGGAGAGTGCAGACACATTGTGGGGAATGAAACCAATGTCATGAAACAGTTTGTGTACAAACTATTGAATGGGAAATTAATTTGCTCTGTAAACATTCACCTAATGCACAATAAAAATAAAATAAAAAAAAGATTACAGCCTTGGAAACCCTATGGGGCAGTTCTATTCTGTCCTACAGGTTCGCTATGAGTCGGAATCGATTGGACAGCTATGGGTTTGGTTCTGTTGGTTTACTGGTTGCCTGGCTCTCCACCAGGCACTTCTCAAGCATTGTTCTCACGTGATCACAGGAGGCAGGTGGGATACCCACCCCCCCTTAGAGGTGCGACACCAGCCAGCCAGCTACTCCGCAGTGAAGCTGGATCGGAAGCCAAGCTCCTCCGACTCCATTTTCTTTCCAGGGTGCTTTTGTCCAGCTAACGCTTATTTGGCACCTGTTGTGTATCAGGTGCTTTGCTAGATAGTGAGAGGAGGAGGGACACAGCCCACAGCCTAGAGGGGCTGGGACAGGTCCACAGGCGACACGCCCGCTACACTGCACCTCCGCACCATGGGGGCTGCTTGCCGCAAAAGCTGGCACTGCCTCAGTAACCCTAGAACAATAAATAAGTAGCACAATGAAAACTGTTTCTGTGTAGAACAAAACCCCCAGCAGGGCACTTGCCTCCTTCCCCCTGATCCCACCCCCCTCCTGGGCCCCTCAGGCAACATAAGCAGGTAAGACCCACTCCACTGCCAGCACCCGCCACCGTGAACCGCCAACGTTCAGCTCCACAAGTGCCTCCATCTGGAAGCCTTCGCTGAGCCCCCCAGGGGGGCCTGGTGCCCTGCCCACTGGGCTTCAGAGCACCTGTGTGCCCCGCTGGGTCCCAGGGCACCTATGGGCCCCTCGCTGGGTCCCGGGGCACCTGTGCGCCCCCCCTGGGTCCTGGGGCACCTGTGGGCCCCCCACTGGGTCCTGGAGTACTTGTGGGCCCACAAATGGGTCCCAGGATGCCTATGGGTCCCTGCTGAGTCCTGTCCTCACAGCACTGAGCCCAGAGTTGTGAGCATCTGTCCACCCACCTGCCCATTCCCCCCCCTCCACCACACGTTCCCTAAAGCAGGACCAGGTCTTACAGGCCTTTGCACCACCCCCGACCATGTCCAGCACAACACCTGGCACAGCTGGCATCACGCAATGGGGGTCACAGAGGCTGTCCCTGAGTCCCAGGCCTGCTTTTCTTCTCCCTTCGGTCTCTCTCCCTCAGTGACCTCTGTCTCCCAGGGCCCCAGTGTGCCTGCCTGCCCTCAACGCCCCCGCTCGGGCTAAGGAGCAGTGTCCTCTGGTGACTTGGGGAAGGCGGCTCCAGGGATGGGACGGAGCAGAACGGAAAAACCGTCCCGGGCTGATCAAAGAGAGCCCGCTATCAGACACAACACAGAGAAAAACAGAAATCTCCAGAAAGAAACGCCCAGCTTGTAACCCCCAACTCTCTGTTAACAATAAAACACCCCAGCAGGCCACTCCTGAGAGCAGCTGCAAGCAGCAGCATTCACTCCAGAGTCCTACCTTGAAGGTTTTGTCCATAGAAGCCGAGAGAAGCATGTGGCTCTGGGAAAGGACGGGGCACCACTGGATCCCATTGACGGGGCCCCCGTGGCCTCTCAGGTGGAAGAGCACGTTCCTGGGGATCTTGGTCTCCTTGTACTGACTGTCCAAATACGGCCGAATAAACTCAGACACTCTAGGGGCCACGCAGAGCGGGGCTGGGCCTGGGGTGCCCCTGGCAGAGGGACCCTGGGGCTCCACACCTGCACTGGTGCCCGTGTCTGTGTTCACTGCTTGCATCTGTCTTAGTCTTTTTGGGGTGTACGGTACGACACAGTCCTCACGCCTCTTCTTCTGACAGGAGCTGTCAATTTTACCAGTGACTCTAGATTTGGCTTGACGACAGAAAGTCGGCTCAGGGTAGTCACAGGTGTCCCAGGAGAGTTTCGCGCCCTTAAAGCGGGCAGCTGCCGGGGGCACGTGGCCAGCCGGAGCACGGCTGGTCCACGGGGAAGGGTGCGGAGGCTCACTGGTGGGGAAGGTGACTGCAGGCTCCTGCCTGGGCCACTGCAGCCTCTGGCTGGGGCAAGACCTGCGATCACCTCTCCCGAGCTGAACCAGCGGGAGACAGTGGCCACCTGGGCCTTCACAAAGGCTGCTTAGAGCTTCAGGCCCGGGATGTGTGGGCTGTGGGCCCCCTTCTGTCATGTCCAGTAGGCCAGGTGCAAAATCCCACCCGCAAGGTTTGCCCACACCAGGAGTGTCCTTCATCTGGCCAGCAGGAGTAAGACTTCCTGCAGGCTCGGGCTCAGCCTCTGAGTCCGAATCATCATAAGCCACCAAAGAAGCCATTGAAGGTTCGGTTTCTTGCTGTCCTTCGAGGGCAAACTACCTAAGAACAAATGAAGACAAGTGTCAGCAAATGTGCATGGGAGAGCGTTTACATGCAACTAAAAGACAACATGTTACCAAGAAGTCCAAGACTTAAAAACCCATAAATCAAAAAGAAGGGCTTTTCTATACACCAGGCATAGTTAGAAGATGTAATTTAAAAATGAGGACTTGAAAATAAATTTAACAAGAAATAAGCAAGACCTCCCCGTGAAGTCTACTCAAAACAAAACAATAGTTTAGCTTAACTAGTATATCTGCCTTGAACTCTGCGCTCTTTTAAGAACTACCTACATGGGATCAAATTGACCACAGTAACTCAAAAGATTAGACAGAAAGCTTAGGAGGCAGTGAGTTTATGTTAATGGGGGAGGAACAACTCAGAAAAGGAGGGTGAGAATGTTGCACAACTCAAAGGATGTAATCAGTGTCACTGAATTGTACATGTAGAAACCTGAATTGGTATACGTTCCGCTGTGTATATTCTCAACAACAAAAATAAATTATAAAAAAAAAAAAAAAAAAAAGCAAGACCTACATGGAGAAAACTAAAACTTTACTGAAAGATATAAAAGAAGGCCTGGCCAATGCAGAGACAGCGCAGTAACAGAAAGATTGAGCATTCTGAAGATGCTTTTGGGAAGGCTGACTGGGCAGTGTCTGTTAAAATTTGGGGAGTCGCTGGGTGGTGCAAGCAGTTTGTGATCAGCTGCTAATCTAAAGGTTGGTGGTTTGAATCCACCCAGTGGCGCTGAGGAAGAAAGGCCTCGTGATCTGTTTCCAGGTACAACAATTGGTCTCTATTCTCCTGGAGCAACAGAAGAAGAAAGAGAGTCAGGAACAGGAGGAGGATAAGGAATGTGTGGCTAATTGCCTCCAGGAACAACTGCCTCGTTTGCCATAAGACCAGAAGAACTGGATAGTGCAGGGCTACCATTACTGAACATTTTGATCAAAGATTCTATAGAAGAATCCTGATCAAAAGGGGGGAAACGTAGAGCAGAATTTCAAATTCTCATAGACCCCAGGCTTTCGGGAGCCATGGGGGCTAGATGAACCCCTGAAACTACTGCCCTGAGATAATCTTTAAACCTTAAAACAAAACACCCCCTGAAGTCTTCTTAAAACCAAACAATAGCTGGAATGCAAAATGGTACAACCATTTTGGAAAACGATATGGTGCTTCCTTAAAAAGCAGCAATAGAAATACCATATGATCCAGCAATCCCACTCCTAGGAATATATCCTAGAGAAATAAGAGCCATCACACAAATAGACGTACGCACATCCATGTTCATTGCAGCACTGTTCACAATAGCAAAAAGATGGAAACAACCGAAGTGCCCATCAACAGATGAATGGATAAACAAACAATGGTACATACACACAATGGAATACTATGCAACGATAAAGAACAATGATGAATCTGCGAAACACCTCACAACATGGATGAATCTGGAGGGTATTACGCTGAGTTAAATAAGTCCATCACAAAACGTCAAATATTGTATGAGACTACTATTCTAAAAACTTATGAAAAGGTTTACACACAAAAAGAAACAATCTTTGATGGTTATCAGGAAGGGGAGGGGTAGGGAGAGAAAAACACTAAATAGACAACAGATAAGTGATAACTTTGGTGAAGGGTAAGATAGTACCCAATACTGGGGAAGCCAGCACAACTTGACCAAGGCAAGGTCATGGAAGCTTCAAAGACACATTCAAACTCCCTGAGGGACTGAATTACTGGGCTGAGGGCCTAGGGACCTTGGTCTCAGGGGCATCTAGCTCAACCGGCATAACAAAGTTTATAAGAAAATGTTCTACATCCTACTTTGATGAGTAGCGTCTGGGGTCTTAAAACCTTCTGAGCGGCCATCTAAGATACTCCACTGGTCCCACCCTACCTGGAGCAAGGGAGAATAAAGAAAACCAAAGACACAAGGGAAAGATTAGTCCAAAGGACTAATGGACCACAACTGCCATGGTCTCCACCAGACTGAGTCCAACACAACTAGATGGTGCCCGGCTACCACCACCGACTGCTCTGACAGAGATCACAATACAGGGTCCCAGACAGAGCTGGAGAAAAATGTAGAACAAAATTCTAACTCACAAAAAAAGACCAGACTTACCGGTCTGACAGACTGGAGAGACCCTGAGACTATGGCCCCAGGACACCCTTTTAACTCAGTACTGAAGTCACTCTTGAGGGTTACCCTTCAGCCAAAGATTAGATAGGCCTATAAAACAAAATAAAACTAAATGGGCACAGCAGCCCAGGGGCAAGGACGAGAAGGCAAGAGGGGACAGGAAAGCTGGTAATGGGGAACACAAAATCCAGAAGGGGAGAGTGTTGACACATTATGAGGTGAGTAATCAATGTCATGAAACAATGTGTGTATTAATTGTTTCCCCCACACGACTGTTGGTTTGTTGTACTACGGGGGCTTGTGTGTTGCTCTGATGCTGGAAGTTATGCCACCAGTATTCAAATACCAGCAGGGTCACCCATGGTGGACAGGTTTCAGCCGAGCTTCCAGACTAAGACAGACTAGGAAGAAGGACCCAGCGGTCTACTTCTGAAAAGTGAAACCTTATGAATAGCAGCAGAACATTGTCTGATAAAGTGCCAGAAGATAAGCCCTTCAGGCTGGGAGATACTCAAAATACAACTGGGGAAGAGCTGCCTCCTTAAAATAGAGTTGACCTTAATGACATGGATGGAGTCAAGTTTTTGGAACCTTCATTGGCCGATGTGGCATGACTCAAAATGAGAAAACAGCTGCAAACATCCATTAATAATCAGAATGTGGAATGTACAAAGTATGAAGCTAGGAAAATTAGAAATCATCAAAACTGAAATGGAACACATAAACATTTATATTCTAGGCATTAGTGAGCTGAAATGGACTGGTATTGGCCATTTTGAATTGGACAATCATATGGTCTACTATGTCGGGAATGACAGCTTGAAGATGAATGCCATTGCATCCATTGTCAAAAAGAACATTTCAAGATCTATCCTGAAGTACAACGCTGTCAATGATAGGGTAATCATAACCCTACAAGGAAGACCAGTTAATACGACTATTACTCAAATTTACGCACCAACCACTAAGGCCAAAGATGAAGAAATTGAAGATTTTTACAAACTTCTGCGGTCTGAAATTGATTGAACATGCAATCAGGATGCATTGATACTTACTGGTGATTGGAATGTGAAAATTGGAAATGAAGAAGGATCAGTAGTTGGAACATATGGCCTTGGTGACAGAAATGATGCTGGAGATCACGTGATGGAATTTTGTAAGACCAACAACTTCTTTGTTGCAAACACCTTTTTTCAACAACATAAACAGTGACTATACACATAGACCTCCCCAGATAGAATACAGAGGAATCAAATTGACTGCATCTGTGGAAAGAAACAATAGAAAAGCTCAATATCATCAGTCAGAACAAGGCCAGGGACCAACTGCAGAACAGACCATCAATTGCTCATATGAAAGTTCAAGCTGAAGCTGAAAAAAATTAGAACAAGTGCACAAGAGCCAAAGTACAACCTTGAGTATGTCCCACCTGAATTTAGAGACCATCTCAAAAATAGATTTGACATGTTGAACACTCATGACCGAAGACCAGACAAGTTGCGGAATGACACCAAGGACATCATACATGAAGAAAGCAAGAAGTCATTAAACAGACAGGAAAGAAAGAAAAGACCAAAATGGATGGCAGAGGAGACTCTGAAACTTGCTCTTGAACGTCGAGTAGCTAAAACAAAAGGAAGAAATAATGAAGTAAAAGAGCTGAACAGAAGATTTCAAAGGGTGGCTCAAGAAGACAAAGTGAAGTATTATAATGACATGTGCAAAGACCTAGAGATAGAAAACCAAAAGGGAAGAACACGCTCGGCATTTCTCAAGCCGAAAGAACTGAAGAAAAAATTCAAGTCTCGAGTTGCAATACTGAAGGATTCTATGGGGAAAATATTAAACAATGCAGGAAGCATCAAGAGAAGATGGAAGGAATACACAGTCACTATACCAAAAAGAACTGGTCGATGTTCAACCATTTCAGGAGGTAGCATATGATCAGGAACCAATGGTACTGAAGGAAGAAGTCCAAGCTGCACTGAAGGCATGGGTGAAAAACAAGGTTCCAGGAATTGACAGAATATCATTTGAGATGTTTCAATAAACAGATGCAGTGTTGGAAGTGCTCACTCATCAATGCCAAGAAATTTGGAAGACAGCTACCTAGCCAACCAACTGGAAGGGATCTATATTTATGCCTATTCCCAAGAAAGGTGATCCATCCGAATGTCGAAATTACTGACCAATATCATTAATATCACACGCAAGTAAAATTTTGCCGAAGATCATTCAAAAGCAGCTGCAGCAGTATATCGACAAGGAACTGCCAGAAATTCAAGTCAAATTCAGAAGAGGATATGGAACGAGGGATATCATTGCTGATGTCACATTGATCCTGGCTGAAAGCAGAGAATACCAGAAAGATGTTTACCTGTGTTTTATTGACTATGCAAAGGCATTTGACTGTGTGGATCATAACAAATTACGGATAATATTTCGAAGAATGGGAATTCCAGAACACTTAATTGTGCTCATGAGGAACCTGTACATAGATCAAGAGGCAGTTGTTCAAACAGAACAAAGGAATACCCCAGGGTTTAAAGTCAGGAAAGGTGTGCGTCAGGGTTGTATCCTTTCATTATACCTATTCAATCTGTATGCTGAGCAAATAATCCGAGAAGCTGGACTATATGAAC